TTTTGCTGCCTTGTGCGTGCCATGTTTCTGCTCTGCCATGCCTGCCTGTCATCCCTTCCTTGGAGTCAGCTGATTAGGGACAAACTTCTACGAAGTAAACCCCTTCCCTTTTAACTTTCGGTGTCCGGTGTTTTGTCCCAGCAATGAGAGAAAAGTAACTGACACAGTCTGTGTGTCAGAACTCTTACTCAAGGTTTCTTCCAAGTCCTACATTCACTCCTTTGCTCTCCTTAGAGACTAATGTCACCGTTTGTAAATGAATGCCACCCCAAAAGACACTCTCAGGGCCGGGGATTTAGCTCAGTGGTTCCACCACCTGCCTTGCAATCGCAAAGTCCCGAGTTCAGTCCCTGGTACCAAAAAAAAAAAGATACTCTCAAATGCACTCTTTCCCTCAGTCCTCTCTCCTGCTTGAGAGAGAGAGAGCGAGCCCTCTGTTCTCCAGGGCTGACTGCTGCCCGTCGGCCCAGAGGTCTTCCTCCATCCTGCAGCTGCCTCCATGTCCTGTGCTCCCTGTGCCATCATCCTCGGCCTCCGCTTCCTGCCATCCCCTTGCCATCCTGTTGCAGTAGACTGTTTGCCCTTGCTGTTACATTTGAGGGTGTTTTCAGTGGGCCTGAGCCACTTCTCTTCAGGTTTAGCACCAGGGTTCTTGCCTTTTCTTTACCTCTCACCTTCCCTCAGTGACAGTATGTTTTATTATTTCTTTTTCTGTTGTGTCTTTCCCAAGGATTCATACTTAATCTTAATGTTTCCCCTAATTTCATTCTCTTGTATCATCCCATCTGCAGTTGAACTTTATTTCAGAGGCTTCCCTCCCTCTCTAGACTTAGTCTCTAGAGCTCTCTCTAGAGCTCAGTCTTGCTTTTATTTCTACAAATCACCAAATATTTCTACTTGCATGTGCTAGAGTAAATACTTTGAACTCAGTGTATCCAAAACAAAACTCTTACCAAACCAGTTTCCATGCCTCACCTTCAGTGTTTTAGGACCCTGCTTTTATATCAAGACCTAGAACACTGCAGTTGCCTTGCAGATATGTTCTGAAAGAATGAGTGAATTCTTAGAGTTACCCTGGATGGAATACTGAGGCCCATCTTTGACTTGGTCTCTGTGCCTGGACCACATTCAGGTTGCTGCTGAGGCACATCAGTCTAGTGTGTCACTTGTATTCCTTCATCCATTCACACTGCCATTAATTAATTGGCTATTGTAGGCTCCTAGACATTCTCTCTCCTTGTCTTGCATGTTGCTGTTATAGTAATCTTGATTTAATGACTAGTACATCTCCAGGCTTCCGGTACTTATGGAACACTTACTGGGGACTGCATTATTTCTAATATATATGTTATATATATTTATGTTATATATTTTTATATATATGTGTGTGTGTATAATCTTTTTTGTTTGAGACAGGGTCTCACTATGTAGTTGAGACTGAGCTGAAACTCACTGTATAGCCCAGGCTGGTCTCAAACTCACAGTGATCCTCCTGCCTCAGCCTCCCAAGTGCTGGGATTACAGAGGTGCTCCACCACACCTGGCTGTATATATAATCTTAATATAAAACCTTTGAGTTAGTTACTGTATTATTATCCATGTAAGTAAAACTGAGACCCAGAATACTGAATGTCTTTCGAGATCACAGAGCTTGTAAGTGGCAAAGCTGTAATTTTGAAGTTGTCACATTCCACAATTCAAGCTTTGATTACTGTGCCGTGCTCTCTCCCCCAGAATAAGGAACTGATCATGATGTTCTTATTCTAACATCTTACATAGCTTATTTCTGATTTTTTTTGTCTGATTTTTTTTTTCAGCAGTGGAAGTTGAACCCAAGTCCTTTGCACTAAACTAAGTGACCAGCCCTTTTTTATTTTTTATTTTGAGACAAGGTCTTGCTAAGTCACCGACTAGCCTAGGTTGGAGTCACACTTGGAATCTTTCTGCCACAGCCTTCCAGAGTGCTGGGGGTGTGCCACCACACCTGGCTCATAGCTCATTTCAGACACATACTGGAGTACCTTTTGCTCTTAAATTCAGTATCCCCTGTGAGCTGACCCCATGTCTAGTGTTTTCTTTTCTGTTCCAGACCTTCGTTTTTTTCCTATGCCAGACTGAATTCTTCTGTTATGTAAGTTGTATACCCCTCCTAGGACTGGCTTATTGGTACAGTACCTGCTTAACATGCGCGAGGCCCTGAGTTCAATCTCCAGTACGACCAAAAAAAACTCCTATCACCACTCCCAATGATTACCATATTGAGTTCATTGTTTTGCTTGTTTATGTAAATCCAATTCAAATGCTTTATTTTTCCATTGGGTTGCCTGTATTTATTTCCTCCTCAGAGCGTGTTCTCTGGCACTTAATACTTTTAGTTTATATTTATAATTATTATTTTATGTTTTGTCTCCCCTATTAAGCTGTAATTTTTTTTTTGAGGGGGTGTGTGTGTGTGTGTGTGTGTGTGTGTGTACCAGGTATCAAACTCAGGACCTTGCACTTGCAAGGCAGGTGGTGGCACCACTGAGCTACATCTCCAGCCCTAGGCTGTAATCATTTTTACTTTAGGAACAATGTCATTTTTTTTTTTCCTGTCTGCAGGTTTGATACATTGCATACTTTCAGATATTTTTTTCTTTATTAAATTTATCTTTAGGAGTACTTTTTGAGTAAGTGAATTTAACTGTTAGGCTATTAACCACAAGATCTTTGTGCATGTAACTTTTTAGTGTGCTGTTTCTCATTTCCATATGTTTCAATAGTTCACAACACTAATGTACAATGTGCTAAGAAGAACTGGTGCAAAACTTTTTTGAAGCCATTTATAAGGCTGATTTGAGCCATTTTATTGATTTTAACAAATGTTTTTCATATACTGAATCCAATATAGAATTTTGTTTTGTTTTTTAAAATCTTCCTGTGTTTTGGAACCAGAGAAATGTAAATACAAGTAGTGAATTTTGGAGCAATACCCACACTTTGGGGTGTTGTTTATAGTTTAGGGAATAGGCTCAAGTTTCTATAGCCTCTGTCATCTTTCTTCATTAATGCTTAAAATCTTTTAAAAGTGAGATGGTAAGAGTTGAGTCTTGTTTTTATTTTAATTAGGAAAGAAATGGGACACATATAAGTTTAATATGTAAGTCTTAAAAGTAATGCATGTATTTAGAGTTAAAAGAAGTTGTGGCTTACTCAAGTACAATATTATTTATATAAAAATGTGACTGTGACAGCATTCAGAGGGCAGGCAGACCAAGGAAGAGGGAGTGGCACTTAGAGAATTAAAAGGAAAGGCAGGTTTATTCTCTTGGGGGCCCTGTAAAAGTCATCTTCCAGAGTCTGAGCCCTGATTCTGAGTTTTTTTCAATTTTATATTGCTCTTTAGGCAGGGCGGGGCAGCAAGCAGAATTTTACAAAAGTAAAACTTAATACAGGGATAGGGAGGTGCAGGCAGATGCTGCTTTTACAGTTTATGACACTGAGGTATAGGCAGGTGTTGTTTCAGGCACTGTTTCGTGCACAGTGACCTTCGTGGGTTTAGCAGGAGGGACAAGTCTTGAGATCAGCAGTCTCTGTAAAGCTTTGAAATGGTTAGTCTCTACTTTGTCTTTTTTTTTTCTTCTTCATTTCATGACAGTGTACTGTTGAGTCACAAATGCTAAATTCAGGGTGGGGTTACGTTTGGAGGGACTGGAAGATGGGGGATAGAATGAGGGAAAGATGCCAAAGTATATCAACCATGTGCATGTTTGTTTCTATGTTGAGTAGTGGGTTCATGGGTATTTTTCATTGTTCTCTCTACCTATTTGCTTAACTAAAAGAAATTTATAAGTTCAAATACTATAGTTTTCTACCTACCCTTGACTCCCTACCGCTTAGTTGCACTCCCAAAAGTGAGCATTTTCTTGATTTCTTTGAACATTTCCAGAGATATATGCATAAACAGGAATATGTTAATGTATAAATTTTCTTTTACCTGTAAAAATGAAATAACCACTCCATTCCTTCTACATAGTAAAGAGTAGCCTTATCTGTGCAATTTTACACTGTGCCTTTTTTTTTTTTTTTTTTTTTGGTACTGGGGATCAAACTCCAATCCTTGTGCTTGTGAGACAGGTGGCAGAACCACTGAACAAATCCCTGGCCCCACTGTGCCTTTTAAACTTAATGTATCTTAGAGATTATTCCATACCACACATTAAATATATAGTTTTAATAAAAATAGATTTTCTTTTTGGTGGCACTGGAGATTGAATTGTGGGCCTGACATATCCTAGATGAACACAGTACCACTGAGCTGTTTTCCCAACTCTAGAGTCTACTTCTTACCATTAATAGTATCCTATCTACCAGTTATGCTCTAGTCTTTATTTGCTACTGAGCACATGCACTGGTTCTGCTATATCACATTTGCTTAACCAGCAAGAAATTGAAGTTTCTCCTTGATTCCTCTTAGCAAATATTCCTAAGGCTTTGCAGGGGTGTTTTTCTGTGTAACTGACTCCTTGAATTTGTGGGTCATGCACCCTCTGGGAGGTGGGAAGAAGGAAGTTTGGACTTTAGAGCTTAGGTTTAAATCCTGTTCTCTGCCACTTACCAACAGTGTAACCTTGGGTAAATTACCTAACACTAGAGTTGTATTAAGAATCAAATGCAGCGGGCACAGTGGATCATTGTTGTAATCCCAGCTCTTTGGGAGGCTGAGGCAAGAGAATCGCAAATTCTGGGCAGTTTAGCTAGACCCTGTCTCAAAAGCAAAAGAGCTGTGGCTGTAGCTTAGTTGGTATATCCCTTGCTTAGCCCCTGGGTTCAATCCCTAGTACATACCTGGGGGTGGGGGGTGAAAAGCAGTTAACACAGTAAAATGTTAACTATTTTTACTATATTATTGATTGCTCAGCTGTCTGCTGCCCAAGCTTCTGCCAATCTCCACACAGCTAACCCCATCCTCCACCACTGACCTCTTTAGCCCTTGGTCTGTGTAGCAAGTGAGAAAACCTCATTCTCTATTTCAGGATATGCTCTTTGAAAGGGTGTTTTCCCTGTCCCCAGTAATGCACTTAGTACTACAGCTGCCTTCATGAAGTACCAGGGCTCTCTGCACCCAGCTGGGGTAGAGCAGGTAGTGAAAGTACAGCTTCCCACCTGTCTGGAATTATGGCAAACCTGAATGTTTTTTCTGCTCAAAGTAGGTCTCTTCGCTAGAATTCTTTTGCATATTCTTCCTCTCGCAGTAACGCCCACCCCTACCTCGGGCTCCTTTGTCCCATCCTACTTCCTCTTACCTTGGGGAAACTACTTGCTTATATGTGTCTGTCCTGTTGAGGTGAGATCAGGCATTAGGTTCTTTTTCATAGGCTCCTGGGCACCATTTAAATCAGGGGATGTGGCCCAGCATCTATTTAAGGACTCCTCTGAACATTCTGTGGCTGATAAGTCCCCATAAACGTTTTATGGTGGTTGGGAGGCCAGTGTCCCTTGAGCACAGAGGATCCCTCAAGGGCACTGACAGCTCTAGCCCAGACTGGACACCTTGTTGTGTTAGTCACATTCAAAGCTAACATTTAAATAGCAGTTTCCATTACAACATGATTTTCACATTAATTAGTTTATTTACCTCCAAGGCAGAGATCAGTATCTCATTTTAATTTTTCAAATGAGGAAACAGCATTATATGCAGAAGGACAGAGGTTCCTTTTGCTCATGTGACACTCGAACCAAACTACCTTCTTACCAGGTGGTAAAGGGTGATATTTTACTGTTCAGCAGAGATTATATTAGTTGTCATAAAGGGAGAATTTAATGTTAGTTAAGTTTGGAGTGAAATTAATAGTGTTGAAAATTGTTGAATAATTTCATTTAAATTTGGGTCTCTCTATTACTCTGTAGATTCATGTGAGCTGTAAACAAATTTGTATTAAAAAATACACACACAAATGCACATATTTGTGTTGTTCTTTTTTCAGGGCCAAAATGGATACTGCTGGTCATAGCCTTGTCCTTTTACAGCAGCTGAACATGCAGCGAGAATTTGGTTTTCTGTGTGATTGCACAGTTGCTATTGGGGATGTTTACTTCAAAGCCCATAGAGCAGTACTTGCTGCTTTTTCTAACTATTTCAAGATGATATTTATTCACCAAACAAGGTAAGAATGTATTTTTGTAAATCAGAAGTTTTAATACTGTGTGATGTGTGTGATACTTCACGAAATCTTTATTATAGAGTTATGCTAAGAAATAAAAACTATAAATTTTGTATATCAATAATTAAACTTAGTACATATGATCTATAGTAGAAGATAAAATGAAAAATAATTATAGCTAAAATTCATTGGTTTATTCCATACCCAGGTGTTAAATCCTATAATGTAAATTCTCCTGTTACTCCTACATTAAAGGAAACTGAGACTGAGTTGTAAAATAACTTGCCCATGCAGCTAATACATTGGATTCAAATGCAGACCTGTCTAAAGCCAAAGGTCTGTGCTCTTACTCACGAAGTTGTTTTTATTCCATAACACTTTCATAGCAAGGTTTCAGTGACAGTTCTGCCTGCCATATATTTCATACTACAATTCAGAGGTCATTTATTTTAAATAATTTTACTAAGAATTCTTTTGCATTTTTAAAATTTAGGTAACAGATCAATTTAACAATCATGTTCTGAGCTGTGGATAAAAAATAATTTCATTTGGGCTGGGGATTTAGCTCAGTGGTGCCACCACATGCCTCACAAGCTCAAAGACCAGAGTTTGATCCCCAGTACCAGGAAAAAAAAAAAACCAAATAATAATTTCAGTCCATTCTAGCTTAAAAGTGTCAGAACACTATTTTTAAAGGACTACATATGAAATATGAGTCCAACAGTATATTTAATTGTTCAGATACTTATTAAGTACCTATATGCCAAGCACTAAGTTAGACCCCAGTTACAGACAAGTTATATACTCTGCTCTCAATTAATAATCCAGTAATCAATGTAAAGCAAATAATCACAGTGTAATTGATCTCTTTATGCTTTAGTGTCCTTGTCACCCCTTGAGTAGTGAGAAGGTTAAGTGGATTCATAATATTAAAATGTTTAGGATAGAACTTTGCTGTTATTAATGATGCGATAGGCATTGTTCTTTGATATCCAGTGTTTCCCATAGAGCATCTATACACTAATATTGCAGAGAGACTTCTTGATCTCTTCTTATACTGTTATTTTTGTTAACTGATTCTAGATTTATATGTAAAAATTGGATTTGAGATTGTTTTAAAACCTTTCAAAATTATACCTATAAAGCCGGGCGTGGTGGCACACACCTGTAATTCCAGTGCTTGGGAGGCTGAGGCTGCAGGATTGCTGTGAGTGTTCGAGACCAGCCTGGGCTACATAGTGAGTTCCAGGGCATATTGAACCACATAGTGAGACCCTGTCTCAAACAAAATAAAACAAAACAAATTATACAAAATATTCATTTGTGATTTAAAGAATAGATATAAACTGGGTGTGGTGATACATGCCCGTAATCCCAGCACTCAGCAGGCTGAAGCAGGAGGATTGCTAGAGTTCCCAATCAGTTTGAACTATATAGTGAGACCTTGTCTCAAAAAAAAAAAAAAAAAAAAAAAAAGTGAGCTAGGGATGTAGCTCAGTGGCAGAGCGCTGTATGCTGGGCTCTGGGTTTGATCCCCAGCACTACAAAAGAAAAAAAAAAAGACATTTTGGAAGCCAAAATAAAGCTTTAATTTAAACATTTCCAATTTTGTTAGACAAATATTTTTGTTGTGAAATATGTGTGCGTGTGTGTGTGTGTGTGTGTATACTTTTTTTTTTTTTTTTTGGTCATTTTTGCTAGACGCAATGGCACATACCTGTAATCCCATTACTCAGGCTGAGGCAGGAGGATCACAAATTTGGGCCCAGCCTGAGTAATTTAGCCAAGTAGTAAGGCCCAGTCTCAGAAAAGAGGCTAAGGATATAAGCTTAGTATAAAAATCCTATACTGGGTTCAATCTCCAATACTACAAAAAACTTAACTTTTAATTGTATAATTTGGTGGCAGTAGTTGCATTTACGGTATAATGTTGAACAATTGTCACTATTGTCTATTCCCAAAACTTGCATCACTCTACCATTGAGCAGTTACAACCTGCTCCTCCTCAAACTCTCCCACCTCAAATCTAATTTCTGTTTCTGAATTTGCTTATTGTAGGTATCCTATATAAGTAGCAAATATAATGTTTGTCCTTTTGAGTCTGACTTGTCTTACTAGCGTGTTTCTTGGGTTCATCCTTGTTACAGCGTGTAGCAGAGCTTTATTCCTTTTTTAATAGTAATATTTTGTTGTATACATTTTTTTATCCATTCGTCTTTGGTGGATGCTTAGATTGCAGTTCTGGCTACTATGAGTAATGTTCACAGTAGTAGTGGACACTGACGTAGGGGTATCTGTTTGAATCCATGTGTTCAGCATCTTGGTTTTTGTTGTTGTTGTTATTTGTTTCTTTCTTTTGTCATATACTCAGTAGACTGTTAAATTCCTTAAGAACATGGTATGTATTTTATTCATCATTTTTCTGCCTCTGGCACCTGCATGCATATTGCTTAGGAATCATTTAGTGTTGAACTAATGAGAATATTGTTGTTTCCTAACATTAGAAAGTAAATTGAAAACATGAAGGCTTGTTACTGGTCATGAAACTGGTAGGAGAGGACAGTGGAAGCTTTTGTTACTGTGTTTCATCAAGGTGGATTACTAAATATAAATCACTTAGGGAGAAACTGCTTTAACCTAAGACTCTGTTGGCAATTAAGAGGGTAACCAGGTTGTGTCTCATTTTGTGTGGGTCTGTTTTTGTTTTTAACAGTGAATGCATAAAAATACAACCAACTGACATTCAGCCCGACATATTCAGCTATTTGTTGCATATTATGTACACGGGGAAAGGGCCAAAACAGACTGTGGATCCTAATCGTTTAGAGGAAGGGATTCGATTTCTTCACGCTGACTATCTGTCTCACATTGCGACTGAAATGAATCAAGTGTTTTCACCAGAGACTGTGCAGTCCTCAAATTTGTATGGCATTCAGATCTCAACAGCCCAAAAAACAGCTGTCAAACAAAGTCTGGAGGTCAAAGAAACTCCTTCTACTAGCAGTGGAAACAGAGCTGCTGCCCAAGGTGACCACCCCCAATTGCAGCTTTCTCTTGCTATTGGGCTAGATGATGGCACTGCGGACCAGCAGAGGGCCCATCCTGCTGCCCAGGCCTTGGAGGATCACCGGGAGCCCACAGTGTCCATCAAGCAGGAGAGGTGTGACCCAGAGCCTGTGACGTCCCAGAGCAACCCCTCACCCTCTTCAGAGGTGACGGACCCCTCTTTTATAGAAAACAGTATCAAAATACACTTGTGCCATTACTGTGGGGAACGTTTCGATTGCAGAAGTAACTTAAGACAACATCTCCATACACACGTGTCTGGTTCTCTCCCGTTTGGTGTCCCCGCTTCCATTCTGGAAAGCAGTGACCTTGGGGAAATCCATCCACTTCATGAGAATAGCGAGGCTCTTGAATGCCACAGGCTTAACTCCTTCATTGTCAAGGAGAACGAACAGCAGCCTGACCACTCAAACTGGGGCACCACAGAGGCTTTGCAAATCAGTCAAGTATCTCTGATCTCCAAAGACACAGAACCTGTGGAATTAAACTGTAACTTTTCCTTTTCAAGGAAAAGAAAAATCATTTGTACCATCTGTGGTCATAAATTTCTTCGAAAGAGCCAGTTGCTGGAACACATGTACACACACAAAGGTGGTAAACCGTACAGATTCAGCCAGTGCCAAAGGTTTGCTAATGCACTGGCCCAGAGATTTCAGCCATATTGTGACAACTGGGCTGACATCCCTGTGAAAAGTTCTCGCTCGTCACAAGAACACCTCGATTTGCCTTGTGCCTTAGAGTCAGAGCTCACACAAGAAAATGTGGACACTATCCTAGTCGAATAGCAGCAGCTTGTTCGGAACTTTTATACTAATCCTAAAAGAAAATCCCATGACATTTCTTATTCATAAAATATTTTCCTTCTCAAGTTTTATTGACTTTTATTATCATTTTTTTTTCATAGTTTTAAGGTTGCACGGATTAGCTCTTCTTCCTCTGAGACATGTTAGTTAATACAGGGCTATTAAAATGTAACCTTTAGTTAGCCCTTTAAACTTTTTATAAATTCAGTCACAGCTTAAGAATCAGAGTAGAAATTTGGAAACTTTGGAGTGAATCATATTTATAGACTCCCTTAAGTTTTTCCAGGTTGCAGAATCAGTAAAATAATGGATATGGAGTAAATGAAATCTGTCTTAAAGAATATTCTAGGAGCTGGTGATGTAGTTAAAAGGCAGAGTGCTTACCTAGTGTGCATGGGAGGCATGGTTCAAACCCCAGCACCCAAAAAAAGAAATTCTAAACCATCAGTCTTGGCTCATGTTTCCTGTGAGTTAAGTCCCTGTGAGGATTGTTTAAAAATATTTTCTGTCACATAGGAAATTAGTAGTTATTTTAATGCATAATTATATATTGTAATATGTAAAAAATTTGGATTTCTTTGTGTGGTACTGAGCATTGAACCTAGAGGTACTCTACCACTGTGCTACATCCCTGGCACTTTTAATTTTTTTCATATTAAGTCAGCATCTTGTTATGTCCAGGTGGGACTTGAACTTCAAATCTCCCTGTCTCAGCCTCCCATAGTGCTGGGATTACTAAAAAAAATTACTTTCAAGTCATGGCTATACCAAATAATGAGTAATTTTAACTTTTTACATACATGGCTTTTATTTACTTCACATTGAGTATACCCCATTTTAAAGAAAAATATTTCAAAAAAGAGTAGGGAAAGAGTCAGATATAAAATTTTGTAGAGAAATTATAAGATACATACACATAGACAAGCACATAGAGCCAGAGATTCAGACAGATCTGTGTTAATCAGCATGCAAGGGTTTTACCTAAATCCGAAGCATTTCCTTGGAGACTTTAAGAACAGTTTGAAATTTTTATGACCAAAGATTAACATGAGTTTTAAAGGGAAAATGTTAACATAAAATCATTTTTACTTCCCCCATTGTGAGATTTCCTAGGTTGCCTAGGTTGATGTTTATTTTCTAAAACTCATTTGAAAACATAGTTTTCACTGCTTCTGGACTGCAAAACTGGCAGAAGGAATCCATCCAATGTTCTGCAACTATGCTTAGAGTCCACGGTGGTAGTTTTCCTGCTGTAAGTGAACTTCATTTCTTTTTATAATGGTGTACATACAAAGCTAAACCTCCAGAAAAATTAATATTGGTGAAGAAAGTGATGAATTCCCCTGCTCTTTGTACCTGAGAAATAGCTGGTCAAACTGCGTTAGAAAGGACAGAGCTAACTTGTTTTTGAAGTATTCAAATTTGAGATACTAGTGGTCAGAGATAATAAAAAGGTTCCAAAACAGCTTCATCCACATACCTGTAATCCCAGCGCTTGGGGCTGAGGCAGGAAAATCGCCATGAGTTCAAGACCAGCCTGGACTATATAGTAAGTTCAAGGCCAGCCTGAACTATGTAGCAAAACGTCTCAAACAAAACAGCTTCATCATTTTTGTAAGCTTTCCTATTAAATTCTAAGCCTTACAGACATTTGAAGCACATTTGAGGGTCTCTACTATTTTTCCTATTTGAGACAGGTTCTTTCTGTGTTTCCCAGGCTGGTCTGGAACTCCTGGGCTCAGCAGTCCTTTCACCCCAGCCTCCAGATAGCCAGGAATACCGGTAGGTATACTACCACACCTGGCCCTGCATCTAATGCACGATCAGTAACATCTAATAAATTTAATTTATGAGACTTAGAATCTAACCACATATAAAAAGTATTTGAGCTTCCTTTTGACTGACCACTTCCAAGGAGATTTTGTGACATAGTCAACACCATGCTTGTTCATCAGGAAGGAGCTCAAAGAATAATGTAGCTAAATCTAAACTACAGAGGCAGTGAGTTTGAATTAGAGTGGTAAGTTTCCTGGGGACTCAGTGAAGAAAGCAGCAGGGTTTTTGCTTTAGACAAGATGTTAAGGCATGGGATTCACACTGAGAGCACAAGCTACCTATAGATAGGGTCAGCTATACTAGGAGTGAGTCAAACAAATTGTAGCTATGTGGGGTCAGAAATGTATCTAACCTAAAATTTTTTTCACTAATTCATTTAAGCAGTTATTCAGACTCAGTCTACCTTCAAAGCTTTCATAAGAACATGAATATTAACATTGATCGTATGTATTTTAGACTATTTGGGATATATTATTTGGAGTTCTTAAAGTTGTGTTCTTAAGATAATTTTTCCAGTTTGTGTCTATGTGTGTAAGGGGATTTGGGATTGAATCCAGGGCCTTTCCAGTGACCTACATCCCCAGTCCTTTTTTAAAATTTCTAGTGTGTGTGGGGGTCTTGCTAAATTGTCCAAGCTAGGCTTAAATTTGTGATCGTCCATCCTCAGCCTCCCAAGTGCTGGGATTACAGCAGTGTCTGCCTGACTTTGGATTTCTCTTCTCATTTGCATGCTTTCTTTTAATATTAAGAACTCAAGCTAGCTAGCTGTGGTGGTACACTCCTGTAATTCCAGTTACTTAGCGGGCTACAGCAGGAGGATTACAAATTTGAGGCCAGGAGCTAGCAATGGTCCAGTGGTGGAGCTCTTGCTTATTAGCGTGTGTGAGGCCATGGGTTCAGTCCCTAGCAACGCCCCCCCAAAAAAGCAAATGTTCTTTCCTTAGTCCTCATAATATTTTCTGTCTTAGGGAGTGGGAAGATGTTAACTTCATTTTATAGGGGAAAAAAAATCACAAAAGCTGAATTCCAGAGAGCCAAAGAGGCTTTCTTTTCTTTATTCATTTTGCAGGCATTTTTAAAAAGTAAATATTATAAGCCTAATACTGTTCCCTGAATTTTACTGTATTTAGTAAAGGACATCATTCTTCACTTCAAAAAAAAAAAAAAAA